AATAGAAACAACTATCATATTCACTTCTTTTGAATCCTATACTAGTAATGAAGGTGTAAAACCTTTTATACCATTGTCTAGGGCCTTGTCTAAGCCCATATAAGGATTTATGTAGCAGGCAAACATGTTCAAGGTAGTTTCTATCAATAAATCCCATAGGCTGTTTCATGAAGATTTTTTCATCTAGGTTACCATGTAGGAAAGCAGTTTTTACATCTAACTGCTCTAGTTCTAGGTTTAGATGTGCAACTACAGATAGCATGATCCTAATGTTTTTATATTTCACTACAGGGGAGAAGATTTCATTGAAATCAATCCCTTCCCTTTGGGTGTAGCCTTTTGCTACAAGCCTAGCTTTAAATCTAGGTGGGTCAATAGAAATCATACCTTCCTTTACCTTATGCAACCATCTACAGGCAATGAGCTTTTGGTTTTTAGGGCAGGGTACTAGGGACCAAGTCCCATTTACCTTCAAGGAGTGCATCTCCTCTTCCATGGTAGCTTGTCATTTCTATCTATCTTTGGACCTTATAGCTTCATTGTAGCTATCTGGTTCAGTTCTCTGGATTTCAGCACCTACAACCAGAGCAATAAAAACTAAGTCAGCATATGAATATCTTGCAGGAGGTCTGATTTCTCTCCTGATTCTGTCTCTGGTGAGTTGATATTGTGCCAATGACTCTTGTTGGGGCTGATCTGAAATTTCAGTTTGATCATCCTCTGATTCATGTTCCAAGTTTGAGGTTGCTGGTGTTTGTTCTTGGTTTTCTAGTTTAGTTTGAACTCTGACCTGCTCAACCTCAATTTGTGTCCCATTATACTGATCTTGACTAATCTACTCACTGGTTGAGGTACCTGCAGGATTATTACAGGTTTTACAAGGAAAAAGATTTTCATTAAAGATTACATCCCTGCTTATAATAACTTTTACCCCTGGTGCCTTTTTTTCCCACAACCTGTACCCTTTAGTCCCCCCTTGGTAACTCAAAGACCTAGGTTCTAATTTTCCCTCACTGGTGTGTGCATAAGCAGCACATCCAAAGGCTCTAAGGTGACCTAGGTTGGGCTTCCTATTAGACCATTTTTCTTCTGGACATACGAAATTAATGGCACTTGAGGGACTCCTATTAACCAAGTAAACTGCAGTATTAAGGGCCTCACCCCAGAAAGATTTTGGTAAACCTGAGGTGAACAGTAGACATCTAATCTTTTCTAACAGGGTCCTGTTCATCCTCTCAGCGACTCCATTCTGTTGTGGAGTCTTTCTCACAGTCCTATGTCTAAGTATCCCTTAGTCACTACAAAATTGGTCAAACTCACTATTATAGAATTCTAGGCCATTGTCAATTTTGAGAGCTTTAACTCTCTTATCAGTTTGGTTCTCATCTTAGGTCTTAAGCAAATAAACCCATACTTTTCTGCTATAGTCATAAACTATGGACAGAAAAAAACTACTTCCCCGATGTGTTTTGGTTTTTTCAGGTCCCCATAAGTCTGCATGAAGGTATTCTAGGCCATTGGTGGCCAGGTGAGTTCTTTTCTAAAAACTCACCCTATGTTGCTTACCTAATATACAGGCCTCACAGAAATTTAAAGTGTCAATAGAATCCTTACCAAACATACCTTGCTGGCTCAGAATGTTAAGTCCAATCTAACTCATGTGACCCATTCTGAGGTGCCACTTTTCTGTAATAGTAAGATTAGTAGTGAATAGGGCAGAATTAACATAATTCAAATTGTAATTATCATACAGGATATAGAGGCCATTACGTTTGACACCTTTTAGGACTAAATTCTTATTCTTATACACATTTAGGCAACCATATTCAGCCTTATAGCAGCAACCTAATTCATCTAATTTGCCTAGGGAGATCAGGTTTCTTTTCAGTTCTGGTATATACCTTACCCTAGTTAGTTTGACAGATTTACCATTATTAAGACTTAGAACTATACTCCCAATCCCTTGAACCTTGCAGGCATTATTATTACCCATGTACACTATCTCTAACTCACCAGCTTCAAAATCCTGAAACCACTCTCTATTGGGGCTCATATGAAATGAGCACCCAAAGTCTAACACCCATTCATCTGTATTTTCAGACCTAGATACAGTCAAGACTTCTGATTCTTGGACATCATTTTTACTAGAGGCCAAATTGCTCCCTGTACTACTTTGTTTTTGTTTCCTGATCCACTCATAGCAATTTTTCTTCAGGTGACCAGTCTTGTTACAGAAGAAACATTTCCTTGTTTCTCCTTTTGCCTTATAAGTATTCTTGTTTTTCTTTTTATTTCTAAAACCAGTATTAAACTGAGAACTACCCCCAGACTGTCTAGAATCTCCATTTCCTTTTATAAGCAGACTACTGTTATTTTTCTTATGGACCCTAAGCTCTAGTTCTCTAGCCTTCAATCCTGATGTAATTAGGTCTAGACTAGGGACAATTCCAATGTAAAGCAGGGCATTCTTGACAACTTGATATTTCTCGGTAATGGAATTTAAAAGAATCATGGCTAAGCTAGACTCACTAAGTTCTTGATCAGTGCCCTTGAGTATAAGAGTCATTTTCAAGAACTCATCTAGGTTCTCTTCTATGGTCCTAGCACTATCCATCTTATATGAAAATAGTATACCTTTCAAATAAGCAAGATTAGGAGCAGATTGAACTGCATAGAGTGATTCTAGCTTACCCTAGAGAGTTATCGGTGTCTCAACACCATCTACCTTCCGCAGCACATTGTCGGCCAGATTCATGACGATAAGATTGTACGCTTCCTCGTCAATTTCGGCTTTCTTTTTCAGCTTTTCCTTGGGCCATTTGGTCTGGTCCTTCTCTAGTGCGACTGCCACTTTGTTATGTGACAGGAGTGCCTTCATTTTCTTCTTCCAAGTGTTGAAATCAACTTTGCCATCATAGTGCGTGTGTGGTACTCATTATGTGAAACAGATAGTAATGGTGTTTGGTAAATTTGATAGATAGATTCGAAGAATAAAGGGTTTCACTCGGATTCGTGGTTACCACAAGGAATTAGGGACTAAGTTTCGAAGATTTCCTAACCCTAGACTTCACCGAATCTTGAAATCAAGAAACCCCCAAAATTTATCAAGCCCTAATTTCAACAGTAAACCCTAAAATCAACAAACCTTAAATTGATGGCTCTGATACCACTGTAGAGATAATCTGCAAATCTAACAACCTAACAATCGACAATCCACACTCAACACACACAATCAAAACTATAAACGGAATCAAGAAACAAGAACACGAATTTTACCATGGTTCACTTATCCAATATAGGATGAGCTACATCCACGTTGAGCTCCAGAAACTCAAAGGCTCTCTGCACTAAAGATTAATCGAACACAAATACAAAAAGATCCAACACCTAATCACTCATACACTGCGAATCTCTCTCTCATGATGACCAGTAATCTTTCCTATGAGAATTCTATACTCAGATCCTCAAGACTCAAGGGAAACACAACCCTTAAAACGTGATTACAAACAACCACCCAAGATTACAATCAAACAATGAGATACAGAGCAGACCCTAACCGAGAACAAAAGATCTAAAAAACCAGTATGTAAAACTAGTTCTGCAGCAGAGTAAGTAGTGCACTTTCATTCTGTTTTGAGGAAGGATGAACCTGGCCGTTAGATGCTCTATGCTTTCAATGGTCAAGATTTTTTCTTTGTAGCCAACTGTGTAAAATGATAGCGTTGCACTAAAAGTTCAACGACATCGTTTTTGTGCTTCACACTACCATTCTTAAAATAGGAGTGGCGATTGGAACCCAGGAGTGGTCAAGATGTTTTGAAGCTAAAGAGACAATAGTAAAGAGGGACGATATAAAGAAGGCAGTGACTCTGTTAATGGTTGGTAAAGAAGCAGAAGAAATTAGAAATAGAGCCAGGGCACTGAAGGAGATGGCAAAGACTGCTATTGAAGAAGGAGGATCATCAAACACTGATCTGAAATCTTTATTAGAAGATTTAAGGTTAAATTTCTCGTAGAATGAAACAAGCAATTTGAACTTTGTTATTGAAATTGTCATTTACATATACAATTAAGTCTTCATAAAGTGGAATTAGCATTATCTGTATCTTTGTTTTGGTTTTGACATAGAATGTTTGGTGGATGAATTCATGGAGCAGGCTGAACGTCAGAAGTTTGTACGTAAAGCCCAAAGGGCCTAAATGAGCATGTCTCATTTAAAAAGCCATAACTTTTGATTCAGGAAGAGTTACAAGGCTTGTAAGATACCGTTGGAAAGTTTATTTCGAGCCTGCCGAGTTGTAACATGTTTTGGAAGGTTGGAGGTCATTTTCGATGTCAAAATCCATTGTTTTGGCATGTTTTGGGCTGTTTTAGTTAATTACGCGTTTTTTCCTATTTTATTTCGGATTTTCTTGTTTTAATTGATTTAGTTTTTGTTTCCTGTTGTTATTAGAAGTCTTATTAGGGTTGGTTGTCACCCTATATAAACCTATTTTTTCGTTTTGGAGAGCATTCAATAAATTATTCAGATTTGACTTTCAATTTTAAGCTTTAAGTTTCTGGTTTGAAATTTGTGTTCTTCGTTTTAAAGGCTTAGTCGAATGCTAGCCTTGATTTATTACGCTAGTCGCTGCGTCGGGTTTAAAGTCATTAACCATTTTAGTGTTCTTGTGATTGTTAATGTCATTTTTTTTTTTTTTTTAAACTTGTGTGATTTGTGATTACTATTTTGATAACAAACATTTTAGAATTTAGCTAATGATTTAGTGAATGAGAAGTGATATACTATTCAGGCCTTGTACATTTTTGCACTCCGTGTTTTATAATATTAAGTATGCCTGGAAGAGCACTTGTAACAACTACCTTAAAGAGGAGATAAAGATCATAACATATATGAGTCAAAGAGGAGATAAACAACAGTGAAAATGTTTGTTTATTTGTTGTTTTTATCTGAAGCTGAAAATGATCAATAAACAATGTTCATATTTGCTCATCTCATTCTAAGGGCAGTTTAACTTTAATTCTTCTAACAAAGCATTCAGATCAGAGTTTGAAGATCCTTCTTCTTCAGTAGCTCTCTTTGCCATCTCTTTGAATGACTTGGCTCGGTTTCTCATTTCTTCTGCTTCTTCACCAACCATTAACTGATTCACTGCCTTCTTTATATCCTCCCTCTTCACTATAGTCTTTTTATCTTCAAACCATCTTGACCATTCCTGGGTTCCAATTGCCACTCCTATTTTCAGAACATCTGTAACCAGCTTTTCATTGTAAAATTGCTCTGCCGAGAGAGGCCATGTGAATGATGTGACCATTGGCAACCCAGCAGCGACACTCTCCAGAGTTGAGTTCCATCCACAATGAGTCATGAACCCTCCAACGGTTTCATGATCTAGAATCACCGTCTGGGGTGCCCATCCCCTTATTATCAGACCTTTTCCCTCCATTTTCTTCTCAAATTCTTCAAGACACCATTCATCCTTTTCTTCGCTACTTTTATGCCCTTCCTCTCTCACAAACCAAATGAAGTGTTGTCCAGAAGCTTCCAGCCCCATAGCCATCTCAAGTAGCTGAGCGACAGAAAATCTGGCCATGCTTCCAAAGCATACATAGAGAACCGAGTTGGGTTCTTTCGAGTCCAGCCATCTCAAACATTCATGTTCACTAACGGAAGCTATTTCTCCTGGTTGTGCTTTGTCATTGATGTCTGTGTTGCAAAGTGAAACAGGGCCAATATGCCATGCCTTTCTTCCCATAACCTTCCTATAGTGATCTGAGTAAGCTGGTTCCAGCTCATGGAAACTGTTCACCACAATCCCATAGCTTGAAATCTCTGCTTGTATACCTTGCTCCACCATCTTAGTCAACAATTCGTTATCTATTTCTTCTTCCACACCAACTGAAAGTTGTCGTCTTGTGAACTCTATTTGGTCTGGAAGACCTGGTACCGTGACGGGTTCATCGTCAGATGTTACGGTTTTGTATGGTTGATGCTCATTTAAACTATAGTAGAGACATAGAGGGAAAAAACCAGTTCCGTGGAAACATAGCCTTGGAATCCCAAATTTAGAGGCAGCCTCTGAAGCCCAAGTAAACATCATGTCCACCAAGATGCAATTGGGTGGGCATTCTTGAAGAAGCTGTTCAAATGGCTGTTGGAGAAGGCTGATGGCCATATAGAAATTCATTTCCATTTCAGAAGAAGCTCCACACTTTAACACCACCTTGAGAGATTAGAGAGTGGCCTTAGGTTTGAGAGAGAGTTTTGGTTTGTGTTTTTGTGAACTAGTCAAGAATGAACAAAAATGCAACCGTTTGCACTTATATATACTTGGGCAATATTGCAATTATTTATTTTTCACTTTCAAGCCCAATAAAATCTTATTTTATAAAGGGACCCCACGAATTTAATATGCTACCCTTTGAATAATCAATATTATTCAAGGGCCCATGTAAACTAAACTATTTTTTTTTGGATAAGGTAAGTATGTATAAAAGACAAAAAAAAAAATATACAAATACGAGGGGCATACCCCAAAAATTTACCCATTTTTACCTTTTAACTATTAAAAGGTTATTTTTGTTCATCTCATTAATTTTAACACTTTAAGATATAATAATTAAATATAATTAATTATTGCTTGACCATTTTAACCTTTAATATGTCACAAATGAGTTCTATGTAACTATTACTATAGAAATCCCGTTATTGCCCTCGGAAGGTGCTAGCCCTCTTCGGATAATCATTTCTCTCTCTCATCCTTCTCTAACTTCCCAAGGCTATTGGTGTGACCATGTAGGTCCACCGTGGATTAGCCGTGAGCCGGTTCTGGATGAATCAGAAACCTGTCCGGAGGCCCAACGACTATGGTAACATCTAGCAATGTGCCATAGTCCCTAAACCACGATGAAAAATACTTCATCAAACTCATTTCAGATCATACATACCATGCAGGTAAAGTCCCTTCATTGAGATATCCTAATCGAGTATGGATTCATGGAACGTCAAAATCCTAAACTTGATCTTCTACCGAGTTGTCGATCAATATGTCGGAACTTGTCATCACAAACTTTTGTAGACTAATAATAACTCTGGCCAGAGATTCAGTTTTCCGACATTTATCAATGTTCGTCTAGGAACTCGAATCCGGATGGAGTCAGCGGTACTCCTGATCCTATATTTCTGATTCAATGGTCCCCTCTTGACCATCGTTCGTTTCCGCTTATAACAACGCATGACCAAATAGGCTTTATCTACGAAACATGATTAGTCTCGTACTTATACACCGTATACCATGCGCATCCTATCGGATCCGACTACAATGTCTCAGTCAAAGGACTACATCGTGCAGTGATATAAACAACGATAAAATCATTGACTACATGCTTTTCCGAGTGATTTGTCGTTATTCGTCACATTCGAAAAACAGTTCACCAACCGTTAATCCATACCAATGCCTAGTGACATGACTATCATCGTCATCCGTACTTATATCAACTCATGATATCTTTCGGAAGCATCCGTATGCCTACTGTACATATAGTTGCCCAAATTTATATTGCTTCCGTAGGAAACCCTTTTCGATAATTCATTTACCTATTAAATGAACTCTGGACAATTCATATACATACTTTATTTTAAATGCATGACTGAATAAAGGAAGCAATTTACATATATGATTGAAGAACTCTTTCTCATTATTTATGATATATATAGATACAAGACAAAATGCTCTGAAACCGACAGCAGAATGTTTCTAGGGCATACACTAATATACACTACAGCAACGATTGAGAGAAAAGCAGTTGATGCTAAGTTTTCGAAATGTGAGTTTTGGCTCGTCAAGTAATATTTTTGGGCCATACTGTACGAAGGAAAGGATCTCAGTAGATCCGAGTAAAGTGCAGGCAATCCTCGAGTGGCGAGGCCGGCCAGTAAAGGAGGTCAGAAGTTTCTTAGGCTTGGCAGGTTACTATAGACGATTCGTGGAAGGGTTCGCCCAGTTGGCTAAACCATTGACAGCTCTTACCAAACAGAAGACTCCTTTTGTATGGTCAGAAGCTTGGAGGAATGTTTCCAAGAATTGAAGAAGAGTTAACAACAGCCCCAGTGTTAGTGTTGCCACAGGAGGGTGTAGATTATGACATTTATACAGACGCCTCTTTCAAGGACTTGGTATGGTGTTAATGCAATTAGGTAGGTGATATCATATGCCTCCGACAGTTGAAAGAGCATGAAATGAGATACCCTATGCATGATTTAGAGTTGGCAGCCGTGGTCTTTGCCTTAAGATTTGGAGGCATTACCTCTATGGTGCAAAGAGCAACATCTACACTGCATAAAGGTTAAAGTATTTCTTTACTCAGAAGGAGTTGAATATGAGGCAGAGAAGATGGTTAGACTGGTTAAAGATTATGAGTGCGAGATCAAGTATCACCAGGGAAAGCCAATGTATAGACATGCCCTGAGTAGAAAAGCCTATTTATCCCGACTCACTAAGCAAAAAGAGTTGATAGAAGAGTTGTGTAGAAGCATCTTGGCATGAAATGTTACCCCTGGTGGAGTTTGCCTACAATAATAGTTATCAGTCTACAATTAAGATGACACCTTACGAGGCTTTGTATGGTAGACGATGTAGGTCTCCCTACATTGGGATGAGGTGGTGAAAAGGATGAGTTGAGTACAACTCTTGGGCCAGAGGTGACTCAGAAACTGATAGAAGATGTTAGATTGATCAGAAACAGGATGTAGCAAGCCCAGATCGACAAAAGAGCTATGCCGACTTGAAGAGAAAAGAGGTCGAATTTCAGTGGGTATAAAGTATTTCTGAGAGTTTCCCCTATAAGTGAGTGATGCGCTTTGGGAACAAAGGGAAGTTGGCGTCGAAATTCATTGGTCCTTTTGAGATTCTACAACGAGTGGGGAAGGTTGCCTACAGGTTAGCACTACCCCCTCATATAAAATACATGAGGTTTTTCTGCTCGATGTTGCGGAAATATGTAAGTGATCCCTCCCATATCCTGAGTGTTAAGGATGTTGAGCTAGCAGAGAACCTTGTGTATGAAGAACAGCCGGTTCAGATTTTGGATAAAAGGATTAAAGAGCTTTGGAACAAGAGCATTCCTCTAGTGAAGGTTCTTTGGAGGAATCGAAGGTAGAGGAGGCCACATGGGAAGTAGAATAAGACATGCAGAATAGCTCCCAGAGTTGTTCGTATGAATTTCGGGGACGAAATTCTTTTAAGGGGGAAGAATTGTAACGCCCCACTTGAGGTACGTTGCTAATGTTTCTTTCTTCGCTCTTAATTAGTCGGTTTTTGTGAATAGTGGTTGGTTGGTCTTAGGTTGTGTGATTGTTGAGTTTTGGCCTTGGATTTAGTCAAAGTTAGAAGGTTTTTGATGTTCAGGGCTCGCCGGGGCAAAGGATACTTGTCGCCGCGGCGAAGAGGTGTTGAACATGGGGGAAGCTGCTGACAGTTTCGCCGCGGCAAGGAAGATTCTTCGCCGCGGCGATGTGCCAGTTGAAAAGTTTATTAAGTTTTAGATATTTTTTCCCTTGGGTACTATTTGACCATTTTACCCCTAATTAGTAGGAAAAGGGGAGTAAAATGTAAGGAAATTTCATGAAGAATTGTTAGTATGGGGGTGTTTTGTAAGGAATCAAAGGATATGATGGAATTTCTAAGAAAGAGCAAGGGCAAAATGGGAAGAATGAGTTGTTAAGAGATATTTAAGGGGTTTAGTCTTTGAGAACTCTCATTTTCCCATTCCACCGCCTCCTCCATTCTCCATTCTCTCAAATTCCTTCAATCTCTAAGGATTTCCAAGAGCCTTTTTGAGTACTTATAGTAGGGTTTTAATCTAAAGCATCCTAAGGTAAGGATTCTGCTTTAGATGAGAGTTTTATTTGTTTGATTAGAGTCTCTGTTGTGGTTGTTGGTTAAGTTTAGAAAAGGCAAGCTCCCAAAGGAAAGAAGAAGTGTTAAAGAAACTATTTCCCCATAAGGTAAGTAAATTCAACCTAAGTTGAGATTTAAGAACTCCTTTGAGTAGAGTTATATATATATGTGTATTCATTAAATGTTGAATGAGATTAGTAGTTATGATTTAGTGATACACATATTGAGTTATGAGAAGTGTTTTATTTGCTTGATGTTGGGTTGAGTTTGATAGAAGTTGGAGGAAGTTGAGCAAGCTTATGGAAGTGTTTTTCTTTTGACAGAAATTTAGAGTTTATAAGGGAGTTTTCTCCCATTTGTTGATTAAGAAAAAGAGAAAAGTTAGAGTTAGAGTAGAGTTTTTATGCACATGAGTTTGTATGATGAAATGCTTAAGAGAAGCATAAGTAAGATAGAAAGCCTTAATTGTTGCTACATGTCATAGTTGCATTTCATAAATGCATTAATGAGTTTGAGTCATTTATGTGCATTAACTATACTTTATTTACACTAGAAAAGAGAGTAGAGAAAGAGTAGAGACTTTGAGTTTGACACTCTAAGAGTAAGAGAAGAGAGAATGACACTATAGAGTAAAAGCTAGAGCATTGCTTAATAAGAGAATAGAGTAGGTTTGTGCGATGGGGAACCTGTGAGTACGGGTAGAGTATTCCCGCATATACGCCGCATAGAGAGAGCGGCAAGAGTATCAGAGAGAGAAGTGGTGTAGCCCGTAGAGTACATGCGGATGAGGGCTATACCCGAGTTTACCCGAGAGAATCTATGCACTCACATGGCCAAAGGTTCCGAATCCATGCATAACCAAGTCCGATCGGTTAGAATGAGTAGAAGTCACAGGGAGTGGGAGCGAGAGCGAGTCCCAGTCGTGCCTCCGGTCAGATGGGGCCGTGACTTACTAGAAAGAGAGTTAGTATAAAAGAGTTATGAGAAAGAGAAAATAGATAGTTGTATAAGAGAAAGAGTCAATAGAAATGGTAGGGAAAGAATTAGAGAGAGAGTTACGGGGATATTTGAGTCAATGGGTTTACTTACTAAGCATTGTTTTGTGCTCATCCAGTTGTTCCCTATGTTTTTACAGGTTCTAGATGAGGACACAGTCGGATGGACATCGGCACACGAAGAGAAATGGCTACACTGTCCACCCTGTTTTGATAGTTTTGCATATGATACAAATCTTGTATATATTTGAAAAAAGAATACATATGTTCAATAAAAGAAAACTTTGGGCCCAACTTTTTATATTATTTTTACATGTACTTTTACTATGCATGTTTTTATGAGAATGGAGACATTACATTTGCGAACAGTGGACTTCCAAAAGGCGGAGCTTGAACGACGTGCAGAGGAAGTGAAGGAACTTCAAAGGACAACCGCTAGGCTCTCTAAGGAGGTCGGAGAGAAGGACCAGGAGATCCAGATGACCTCCATGTGGGCTCAGCAAGCTGAACAAGAAAAGGAGGCCTCCGAAAAGGAAAGGCAAGCTCTCGAGGCCGAACTCCAGGAGAGTCAGGAAAAAATTGTTTCACTGACTGAAGAAATGCGGATCCAGTCAGAGGAGGTTGAGGATAAGGCCGCCGACTGGGCGATCGGGTCTATTTATTCCCTGCAAACAAAGAACCCAGATCTGGACATTTCCGACCTCCCGGAGGGGTGGCAAGAGACCTTGCGGATTCTGCCGGAGGAAGATGATCAAGCAGCAGCGACCACCCGACGATCCGACCAGGCAAAGGGTTCTGGTCCTGCTTCGAGGGATCCCCTCGACCAGCCATAATGTAACAAGTCTGACTCCACTGAGATTGGGTCTTAATTTTTGTTTGTACATAAATGAAAATACATTTTGCTTTCAATTGCTGTTCGCTTTTTCATACATAAGTACAGTTTACAACTCAGATTTACATAGGCAATTTTACATACGAATTCTTACACGCGAACAGAATACATGCGAACTATTTCCAGTGAACAAAATAATACTTTACATCAAAGAGGAAACTAACAAAAACTAATTTGAGGGCTGAGTTTAGGATTACTGATAGTATGGCTGGAGGTGCTTGGCATTCTAAGCTCGGGGTACTTTGGAACCGTTCAATCTTTTGAGACGGTAAGTCCTCGGTCTGATCACCTTGTCGACCCGGTACGGTCCTTCCCAGTTAGGTCCTAGTACCCCCGCACTTGGCTCTCTGGTCCCAAGGAGAACTTCCTTTAGCACAAGGTCCCTGACCTGGAAGTCTCTTCGCTTGACCTTTGAATCGAAAAACCTCTTTGCCCGCTGCTGGTAGGCTGCTATCCTTAGCGAAGCCTTGCTGCGGTGCTCTTCAACGAGATCCAAACTTGCCCTCATAAGTGCTTCGTTCTCAACCTCGTCGTACAAGTCTCTCCGAAGAGAACCAGTTCCCACCTCTACAGGAATCATTGCTTCGCAGCCATAGGCTAGCGAAAAAGGGGTTTCTGAGGTGGAAGTTCTTGGAGTTGTCATGTATGCCCATAAGACTTCGGGGAGATCATCAGCCCAATTTCCTTTGGCTGCCCCAAGTTTGGCCTTTAGGGTGTGCTTGATGGTCTTGTTGACTGCTTCAACTTGGCCATTTGCTTGCGGTCTGGGGACTGAGGCTAATTTTTTATGGATGCCCAGCTCATCGCAGAACTGCTTGAACTCCTCGTTATCGAATTGCTTTCCATTATCCGAGATAAGGGTGTGAGGAATTCCATAGCGGCACACTGTGTTCTTGAAAACGAAGTCTTTTAGCTTTCTGGTCGTGATCAACAGAGCAAAGGCTAGTTGCTCCATTTCCGGATAGCGCATCTCGGCATCCGATAGATGTTTGCTTACATAATACACTGGCCACTATGCCTTTTTCTCTTCCCGTACTAAAGCTGCACTGACCGCAAACTGGGAGACAGACAGGTAGATGAGCAGGATTTCCTGTGGAAGAGGCTTAGAGAGGAGAGGTGGCTTCCCTAGGTGTTCTTTTGTACTCTGGAATTCCTGTTCGCATTCGGGAGTCCATTCAAATTTGTTGTTCGCCTTCAGAACATTGAAGAATGGTAAGCAGCAGTTTGTTAGCCTTGATATGAAGCGACTAGGTGCCGCTATCCGCCCATTTAGACTCATGACCTGCTTCTTGCTGGTCGGGCTCTCCATATCGAGCAAGGCTTGAATCTTCTTGGGGTTTATTTCTATGCCTCGCTGATTAACCATATACCCCAGGAACTTTCCTAGTGATACCTCGAACGAACACTTGAGAGGGTTCAGCTTCATTTTGTATAGTCGGAGGATGTCAAACATCTCGGCGAGATGTGCAATGTGCTCTGAGGCGACCTGGGATTTGACCAGCATGTCATCCACATAGACCTCCATTGTCTTCCCGATCTGGTCGGAGAACATTCGGTTGACTAACCTCTGATAGGTCGCGCCCGCATTCTTGAGGCCGAAAGGCATAACTTTGTAACAGTATAGCCCCCGGTCTGTAATGAAGGACGTATGCTCGTTGTCTGGCCCATACATCGGGATTTGATTGTATCTCGTGTACGCATCCATGAAGCTTAGCAGCTCGTGCCCTGAGGTGGCATCAACGAGTTGGTCGATCCTCGGCAGAAGGAAGCTATCTTTCGGGCAAGCATTGTTAAGGTCGCTGAAATCAACGTAGGTCTGCTACTTGCCGTTTGGCTTCTTTACCAGGACCGGGTTGGCAACCCAGGTTGGGTATAACGCCTCTCGGATGGATCCATTTCGGAGGAGGTTTTCCACTTCTAATTTTAGTGCGGTGTACCGCTCCGAATCCATCGCTCTTCTTTTCTGGCGAACCGGTTTGGCTTCACTATTGACGTTTAATGAATGGCAAATAATGTCCGGGCTGATCCCGACTATATCTGCGTGCGACCAGGCAAACACATCAATGTTTTCCTTTAAGAAGCTTATCAGCTCGGAAGCGAGCTGAGGGTTGAGATAGCTCCCAAACCTTAACACTCGGCTCGGCTTGGCTCTTTTGGATCAACCAAAATTTCGGATAAATCCTCAACCGGGCCGCTGGAGGGATTTCCTGGATCCGTGGATCTATGTTATCCTCCGTTGGACCAGGCTGTGGCTCAATCCGACTGATCGCCATAGTCTGGCGAGGCACACATCGCGAAATGTCATTTCCTTTGTCTGCCATCTGCACCGCTTTTACATAGCATTCGCGAGATGCGCTTTGCGATCCGCTCACT